GATGCCTGGAATGATTCCATGGAAAGCTCTCGAGGGGGATGGCCCTTCAGCATTGTTTCAAATTGAAGAAAGGGTAGGTTTTTGTATTCTTGTATAGAGCAATCATTGTGCAGTGAGAGCTGCACTCAGGAAGGAAAAGTAATCTGGGTTAAATCAGTTTTTTTGCCCAAGGGAGAGTTACTCAGTTATGAGATTTTAGTTGTCAAAACTAATAACAGATGAAGGAATGAACTCATTTAACTACAGAATCTGAAAGAAATTATTTGGTCTGAATCTGATTGATGAAAAAGAGAAGTATGAGCTTGCAGAGCAACGTGAGCGTTCCTAGCTCCCAGAGCAAGGGGCTTCCTATCAAATAATTAGGATGCACAGGTTTAGGTGTGATGACCAACACTGGCCAGATGTGGGCAGAAGAGGAAACATTTGTCTTTTCTCTGTCTCTTTGCCCAACCAGCTATCCCTGGGGCAGTACACTTAGCTCTGTGTGCCTCCAAGCAGTCTGGAGACTAACTTTGACTCTGTCCAGGTGTGTCTGTGTGTCCTCTGGGACTTCCCAAGTAGTAATAATGTCTTCCCTGCCCAGTCCCTTGTTCACAAACAGCAACCCTGCCTTGAGGAAGTAAAAAATGGACTCATCTTTCAGGGTGAAAATTGCAGAAACAGACACAAATTCATGCATGAGATTTCAGGTATGGAAAATGAGTTCTGTGTTGAGGCTTATGTTTTGGGGGAGACTATTGACATCTGACTTCTGCCTTTCCCATAGCTCTGTTATAGAAGTTATTTCTTGGCTTGGCTGCTGTGAGTCTTCTAATATTTCTGCCCTGACACCTCTTAGCAGTGTTAAGTTTATTTTTCCTTGTCTCAGAATAGCTGTTCTTCCTGGGTCTGACTCTTCAAAATTAACCCTCTCTGTGTCATTCCCTTTAGCTTCTGCCCTTCTGATCTCATGGAGTTAACTTGTGAGCTTGTAGATAATTACCGGTCCCATTAAAACTTCAGGGCCAGCTGAGGCATTCACAGGGCCCTTTAGCATGCTCCTAGATCTAAGGTACATGGAGATATAGTTGATTTACCTCTTTTACCCAAATCTTGCCAGAACCAGTACTCTTGGAAAACTTTAACTGCACAGGGTCTCCCCGATGGCGTAGGGGTTAAGTCTCAATGCTATCACATTATTACCATTGCGGCCTGAGCTTGATCCCCAGTCAGGGAGCTAACCAACATATGGCACCTCCCCTGTCACCTGCTGCTCCTCTCAGCAGTGTATTGCAGTAAATCCACCTGGTCTGCTCCCTATTCTGTCTGGTGAATCCTCTCACACATAACCCCCCTCTGGCCTACACCCCGTACCTCTGGCCTATTATTTAGATAAATCTTTAAATTAAAAAAAGAAAATTTTAGCTGCACAGACCTCAAGTGAAATATTTTATCTTTGGCATTTAGAGATTTCTGTGTGGCCCTTCTGAGCACAAAGTCCTTTTCATTGTTATATTCCTAAACTAGGACAGAAGGTCATCTTGGTGACTGAACTGGATACTTGCGGTGTTTCTGCAAACTGAGCAGAGAGACCCATAGTGTAACCTTCCTGATCCTGGTAACTTTCTCCTTTTCCTAAGTTCTCTCCATGTTGCTGAGTGTCCCTTGACCTATGACTTTAAAGCATGCAGCCCTAAAGAGTAGAGACAGGAAGATGAAACATTTGCACTGAGAATATTTTACCGATGGCTTTTCTGTCTCAGGTTTGACACCTGACTCTGCCACTGAGTGTCTGATGCTGTTTCTCCCTCTCCTAATAGGTTATTACCTTGAACCCACTATTTCTGTGCTCTGCCCAAATCTCTGCCTGCCTGTATCTTTGTATCTTCCTTTTTTCACTATAAGTAGTGATCACAGAGTCTTTCACTTTGGACACACATCTAGAATTCTGTCAAGGCATTTATGGCAGATATTTAACATGGTTTCTTTTACCATCCAGAATATCCTTCATTTGAGGAAAATTGAGGCTTAGTCCATCCTTCTATCACCCCACTGTCTGCCACACCATTCCTAGCAGACAAGTGAGTGTCTTGTCAAGGTCCTGAAAGTCTTGTTTATACACTCATCTATTTATTTAAAAAATCAATCATATATGTTTATTTATTCATCAATATCAATTGGACACCTCTGAGAATTGTCCTGGGACTGCTACTGTAAGCTAGACATGATTTCTACTTTTCAAAGATGGGCATGCTGGTGGGTTTTCCATTGCAAGGTAATCTGAACAATGATAGCCCTGGTAAAGGGGTTCTATAGGAAAGACAAAGTCTTTTTTTTTTAAAAGATTTAACGCAGGAGGGTGAGAGGATTCACCAGAGACAGAGCGGGGAACAGAACAGGCAGACTGACAAAATACACTGCTGAGGGGAACAGCGAGTGAGACAGGAGAGGTCTGCCGCCCCATGTGAGATCCTCGCCCGCCTGTCGGGATCGAACCGGCACTGCAGAGGCTGCTAACAGCTTTACAGCGCTGCCCTCAACTGCCTGTACCACCAGGGGAGGCCTGAAAAACAAAGTCTTTACAGAATTTGAAGGCAGTGCCGTAGAAAACAGTTGGATTGAACTGGATTTATACGCACATAAGCTCTTTACAATTTAACTGCTTTGGTCAGGGAGTTAAGTGTATCTTCATGTTTAGGTTCCAGGAATAAAGTCCCTTCTGCTTTTCCCCTAAGAATCACTGAGAGCCATCTTGCTCACGTTAGTCATTGATGCTTAAGAAGCAGCGTTTCCTTTTAGACTCTCCAACCATGCAGCAAGCAGAACAGCTGGTTGGTCTCAGGTTGGCCTCTGCTTCTCTCCTTCACCCAGTTTGTCTCTATCCTCCTCTGCGCCACTGAAACTCCTACCAAAGTGATAACTAGCCTTTCACAAATGCACAGCTGTCCTCTGACTTCTCAGCTAAAAAAATGAGAAATGGGCTGAAATTTGTAGAAGAGGAGAGTAGGTAAGGAAGAGAATTAACTTTCTCACTATGTAGAATGTTAAGTGTCAGAATGTGAATTTTTGTATTTTTAATGAAATTCTCATGGAGGTTGCAATAAGAAATATGCTACTGTTACTTGAAGTTATCAGTGGATTTGAATCTAGAAGGACCACAAAAATTGGGAGATAGATGGCCAGCAGGTATTTCAGATTTTGTTTTTAAGATTTATTTATTTATGCATACAAGCACTGGGGCACAGGCCAGAGATGCAGGGGGTGAGAAGATTCACCAAAGACAGAGCAGGGAACAGAACAGGCAGATTGACTGAAATACACTGCTGAGGGGAGCAGCGGGTGAGACAGGAGAGGTCTGCTGCGCCATGTGGGTAGCTCCCTGGCTGGTTGGGGATGAACTCAGTGCTGCAGAGGCTGCAGAGAGCTTCATAGTGCTGTGCTTAACCCCTTGTGCCACCAGAGAGGCCCAGGTATATCAGATTTTGTAGCTGCGTTTGTTCAGAGTTTTGGGCAATGTCGTAGTCATTATTGAATTATGAAAAAGACACTTGGAATGATCTATTGATGCATAATTCACCAAAATGGAGTCATCCCTGAATTTTAAAATATTTATGTATACATTTACATAAATGTGCATAATGTACACATTACATATATGTGTAGCCCTCCCTTATGCATAAAAATAAGATTATTTCAGACTGTCTCTCTTTTAAGAGAAACAAAGACACAAACATATCCAGATTCATGTTTTTCTTTCAGTGCTCAAGAGGTGAATCACATTGGTCGTCTATTTAATGGGTACTTCTTGGTAACATGGGGTGTCAGAACCACTGAGTCAACATCCCATCACCATGGGAGACAGACACAGCAATGGTGAGAAAGAGCAAAGCAAACTTAAGGAGTCAAAGCAAGAAAGAGGCCAGTGCTCATCTATTATTGATGCTAATAGCAATGATGACTATTATTGAAATAAGGCAATCTTTGAAATTCTTGAATGCTACTCATAAAAAATGTATGAATTTATATCATTGATTAAATTCACTAAAGGATTTTAACCTCAGAAATGATATAATATCTCTTTAGGAAATTTCTTGAGAGCAAGGTAGAGAGTGGTTTGAGAAGGGCATGGTAGCAAAGGCAGAGAGAGCTAAGGAAACATGCAGGTGAGAGAAAATAGGAGTGTGACCTAACATTGGGGGTCAAGGAAAATATGTGGATAGAAGATTAAAAATAAAGTCAACAGGGACTTCTGGATAGGTAACAGACAAAAGACAAGAAGGAATAGGAATAGGAATAGTTTCTAAGTTTCTATATTGCTTTGGGAGGGTAACTAGTATATACTTCATGAACTATATGGCCAAAAAGAGGTAGAGCAGATTTGGGAAGGCTAGGTAAGTTCATTCAATTTTGAATATGATGAGTTTGCAGTATAGATAATTGGGAATGCAAATACACTTCAGAAAGATATTTGACTTAGAAACAGACCTGGAAGAAATTGAAGTATATAAATAGCTAAAACCATATGAATGGATAAACCCAAAGAAAATGTACAGAATAGGGAAGAGAGGAGAAGATGGAAAACCTGGAATCAACAACATACGAGTAGGACTGGGCACAACTGCAGTGCCATGTTATGGAAGCTGAAGGAGACTAAATGAACAGAACAGCATATTGGTTATAAGCGTTCAGTAATGGCAAGGGGTGGGAAAGAGAACCCTTTGAAATGGATAGTCCCAAATGATAAGTAATTGAATAGTAGAGTTTAAACATCTTCCTAAGAACAGCATAGCCTACCTCTTATATTTAAACGAAACTATACCAATCCTTAATTCACACACGTGGATGTCTTACCTTTTAAAAATTACCTGGATAGATTTTTTTTCTCCTGCATCTAACTTTATTCCCTTGTGTGGCAATTTAAGCCTCTTTCTTCCTCTGATGAAGAAAAACCACATCTGAACAATGCGATGACACAACAGGAATGAAGAAATTATGATTTTGGTTTCTCTTCTTCTGTCTCTGATCCATCGATGATGGTGCTGAGTAATTCCAGCTGGAGGCTACTCCAGCCTTCTTTTTTCCTGGTCGGCATCCCAGGTCTGGAGGAAAGCCAGCACTGGATAGCGTTGCCATTGTGTGTCCTCTACCTCCTCGCTGTTGTGGGCAATATCACTATCCTCTTCATCATCTGGACAGACTCATCCTTGCACCAGCCGATGTACCTTTTCCTGGCCATGCTAGCTGGCATTGACCTGGTCCTGGCCTCCTCCACTGGCCCCAAAACCCTGGCAGTACTCCTGGTTCATGACCACGAGATCGGGTACACTGTCTGCCTCATCCAGATGTTCTTCATCCACGCATTCTCATCCATGGAGTCAGGTATACTTGTGGCCATGGCTCTGGATCGCTACGTAGCCATATGTTATCCTCTGCACCATTCCACAATCCTGTATCCAGGACTCATCGGGCGCATTGGAATCGCAGTGCTGGTGCGGGGATTACTCCTTCTATTCCCCTTCCCCATCCTGTTGCAGAGACTTACCTTCTGCCGGACCACGGTCATAGGCCATGCCTATTGTGAACATATGGCTGTGGTAAAACTTGCCTGCTCAGATACCACAGTGAACCGAGCTTATGGGCTGGCGGTGGCAGTATTTGTGGTTGGGTTGGATGTCCTGGCCATTAGCATTTCCTATGCCCTCATCCTCCAGGCAGTGCTGAAGGTCCCAGGGGGTGAGGCCCGTCTTAAAGCCTTTAGCACTTGTGGGTCTCATATTTGTGTCATCCTGATCTTCTATGTTCCTGGAATGTTCTCCTTCCTCACTCATCGCTTTGGCCGCCATGTGCCTCATCACATCCATGTTCTTCTGGCCACGCTGTACCTCCTTGTGCCACCTTCTCTTAACCCTCTTGTCTATGGGGTGAAAACTCGCCAGATCCGCGAACAAGTGCTCAGGGTATTCTACACAAAAAGATAGAGCTGCACACATCCCCAGTTTTTTTCTTCAGAGTGTCCCCTAACCACATAGCCAGGAGCCCATGGCTGGACGAGGCTGTGAGGACAGAGGCCGCTCCCCAGTGAGAAGTTCTTGTCCTGCTAGTCTTCTGGCATAGAGTATGCCTGGGCACTTTCTGGTCTCCCAGAAAGTGGGATTGAGTGGGATGTACTGGGAAGTGGGATTTGAGACTATTTTCTTCATCCTGCCTTTTGCTTCTGACCCCAAGATTTCTCTACTCCTTGCTTCAGAGGAACCTGGGGGCAGGATAAACTGATGGTGGCTCTGGATATTCCGTGTTTTTGGTTTTTGCCACCGATTGGCCATGCAACAGCATCTGGGGCGGGAATGGGAGATCCAACCCATGCTTGGTTACAGTTTTGGAGTCTTCAAATCCTGCAAGTTGGTGCTGTGAGCTCTTGGTCACTTAGCTCCTGTGTAGCAACAGAGTCTGTCCCAAAGCAGCTTAAACTATAAAGTGAGAAAACACCTTTAGTTGTAATGTATTACCCATGGCTTAAAAAAAAAAAAAAAAAAGAAGTGGGGGGTGCGCTTAACAGGTTCTTGATATAATAAAACTATTTTTATTTTTTAACCTTTTTTTTGAAAAACCATATTTTAAATCTATATGTGATGTTGGCTATTAAATAAACTTACTGGGATAATCATTTATACATACATATGCAGACACGTATATCTACATATATATGCATCTACAAACATGTGTACATACCTATATGCGCACATTATAAGTATCATACTGTATACCTTAAACTTAAACAATGCTATTTGTCAATTATATCTGAATAAAACTGAAAGGAAAAAGTAGGGAATTTAGTGTCGTACAGGTGTATTTTCAGTTTAACAAAAAATCTGTGAAAAGGGTCACAGGCTATGTTCCAGTGGTTTCGGGAAGGGAGTGCATTAACAACGGAGTGGGGGGACTGGGGGGCTTATGACAGCCACTGATGTGCTCCCTAGTGTGTAGGTTAGTCTCATTGACACGAGGAACGCAGAACCTTTAGAGAATGAATACCTGAAGCCACTGAACACTGCTATTCAGGAACAGTGCAGATTTAAATCAAGACCCAGGGGCAAGAGAGAGCAAGTCCCTTGGAATTAAATTATCTGGAGGAAAAGGGCATCTATGTTGGTGGCCAGGAGTCAAAACAAAAATCTAAATACTGTTGAGGAAAGAAAACTCCATTCTTCACACATCATGAAGTGGGCCTGGGAGCCTCTTACTACATAGTTGTCTTGATTCTTTATTGTGCTTCACATATATTTTAAACACATGGGTGTTAAAAATGAGAGCTGGGACCTCAGAAGCCCAGAGTGGGATATCAAGCTTATGTGCCAGGAAGTCTGAATAGCATTAACACCCCAGCTGGGGGTAAATCAACTCCTCATTGTCATCCAGCCAACAGCGCCTCACTGTGGCCATCAGTGGGAATGGCAACACTGCGTGAATTCCTCTTCTCAGTCTCTGGTCTTAGGTGTTTGAAGGAGGAACTGACAAAACTGTATGGGGAGAACTTCTGGAATCTCCACCTGCCTTGGGGAGGAGTGGTGGGTAGCTTCAAGAAGATACTTATTTCCTGCTCATAAGTCACATGGGGGTTGGACGATTCATTCAAAGAATAAAAGGACATGACAATTTATATACAGATTTTCTTTTCTTCAGTAACCTTTAAGAATCAGTATCAAATAATGACATGATTTAGGTATTGACAAGGACAGAGTGCCTCTTGGTATTTAATAAAATGTAACATCAGTAGTATTTGGCTAAAGACTATATAATATTCATTTCATCATCTACTCTACTAAAAATTAGTTATTGTGTACTTTGTGTATCATTCACATAGTAGTGATTAGCATAGATGATTAGCAAGAGGCAAGTTACGTTTGCAGAGATTATGGTCAAAATAACCCATGAATTATCAATATTCCAATTTTGGCAGATTATATTGCTACCAAAAATAAATTATTAATGGCCATTCAATTGACTCAAGTCAGAAAATAGACTAGTTTGCTACTTGTGGTGGTGTAAGTTAAGGATAAGGCCAGAGGCACCTGGGTAAAAGAATTCACCAAGGACAGAACAGAGAATAGGAAAGACAGATATATTGAAATACCCTGCAAGGGAATAGCGGACAAGAAGGGAGGTATCTGTGCAGAAAGAAGGATTTGAGGCTCACTTTTATACTCTGTTTCTAATTTGGGGGCGATAGTTTGCACCAGTTATCTGCTGGGATGTCTGATCTGGGGCACTGGCCTTTGACACAGAGTGTGTCCTGGCCCTGCTTCTGCATTCCTGGAGCTGGGCTGGTTTTCCTGGACATAGTAGTCTGTCTTATGGCCTGGTTCCCATAACAACCTTATCCAGTCTGCTATCAATTCAACCCCCCAAACCTGCCTGGAAGGCAAGGAGTGGGGGCTTAGCTTTTAACCTTATGAAAAATATCCTGACAGACTTAAAGACATTTTTTTCCCAAAGAGCTCACACAACTCAACAAAAACAAAGCAAGGTTATTTTTACTTTATAACTGATTATTGAAATAACATTTCTTTTACAATACTGTATGTGATTCCGAGATACAGAATCACACCTCTTCACCATAGTCCATTGCGTTCTGGTTTCTCTCCTTCCCCAGCCTCAGTTTCACAGTCAGCTTTGTAGGATTTGCTTTTGATTTGATTTTGTCTGATTTTTTGTTTTGTTTCTCTATATTCCACAGATGCATGAAACCATCCAGCATTTGTCTTTCTCCTTCCTCCTAAATCTTTGCCATAACCACTTGAAAGTTCTTTTTAGTCCAAGATTTGGATCTTAAGCATACATAAATTTTCTCCAACTATTTTATACCTCCTTACCTTACTTTTGTTGAATAACAATAAGCACATTTTTATTTGTGGTGTTGGTTTTACTCCCAAGTTGCAGACATAGCATATTTTGAATTATTACTGGATAGTTCTACGTATGTATTTTGTAGCTATCTCCTGCATAATCCTTAAAATATAAATTCCTCTTTTTAGTCTCAAAACCCCAATCTTTATTCCCATTCTTCTTTCTAATTTCTCAGTAAATAGTTGGTTCTTTCTGTCTTGCAAGCTCAAGAATTTAATGTCACTTCTAACACTATGACTTGGGGTCCAAGACCCTGTTACATTTAGTTTGTTACACATCATCTTGCCTGATTGTCAGGAGTAAGTACATATCAGCAGGGTTGCATAATGAATCCTCAAATGTCTTTCCATATGCATAATTCTACCTGATTTTTATTTTTGAAATGTCTGTCTAATCCATTTCTTCCTGTTCATCCTGAAATCAAGGAGTGGCTCCTGGTATTAAAGAGAGGTCACTACCTGTGGGTCAGGTGGCAGGGGTCGGGGTGGAGGGACTTGGCGTAGTTTCAGATACACTACAATTGTAAAACAAATGTAGTCTAGGGTTCGGAAACTTACAACAGAATTCTTTCTCTGTTGTCTGCTAAATGTACATACATTTCTGTGTATTCTCCTTTGAGGAGATGCTGGGTTTTTCTTCCAGTTCTTTCCCTGTTTTCATCACCTGTCTTTTCCGAGGTACCTGGTACCACAGTGAGATTTGACACATTGGTGGGAGACTTACTAGCTGACTAGGTTCTTGAGGGGAGGGTACTTGCTGGAAGATGCGAAGGGCAGGTAGTCTTTCCCTGACAAGAAAGCACAGAGCTTTCCCTCCAGACACAGAAATCATCCGCCCAATGCTCCAGGTGCAGGGACACAGTCCAAAGCCCTGTGAGGGCCCTTCCCAAGGGACTGGATTTCATGTATAACTCTTGGGTGTTGAGACTCAACTCACGCGGGCTGCAGTCTGTGGCATCCGGTACCTCACGATTTCTCAGATGCCAGGCAGAGGTAGGTGAGTCTGCTTCTGGTCATGTTGGAAGAGGGTCCACAGTGACAGTACCTATCATGGATAACAGCTGCCCAGAGTGATGACCTGTGTAGACAATAATTCTTGTCAATGAGCATAAACTTATTAAACAGGAGTATTCTGAACTTGTAATATGTTTGGAATACTAAGGTACCTTTTAGAGTTTCCCTACAAAGACTGTGAAAAGTGAAAGGATTACTGCGATAGTAGAAACCTGTGTGAAATGAAGAAACAAAGTACTGGCAGTTCTAGAATTTAAACTCTCAGAAGGTGTGACTTAGATTCAAACCCAGCTACAGGTCTTCATTTGGGTCAGTACCTGGCAGAGAGTTGGCATGATGTAAATATTTTTCAAGTGAATTAAAACATGACTGTTACTGGCAGAGCAGCAGTGTTGGGAGTGGTGTGGGCTGAGAAAGATGACTTAAAGTCCTCGTGGAGACGTGAGATGCCTAGAGGGACTACCCTGTGTGTAATGTGCCGCCCCCACCCAAAGGTGGTCTTGTATTTATTAGCATAAAGTACAAAGGTGAGGAAAGGCTGAATAGAGTATACATGCTTGGGGAATATGTTATCAGGAATGTGAGCTAGGGTAGAGTGACTAGGGACTATATTGCCTGGGGGGCTCCATTGTTCCCACTAGTAAAAACATATCATCTAGGGCCTCCCCGGTGGCGCAGCGGTTGAGCGCTGGGTTGCGAAGCTGCCCGCAGCCTCTGCAGCGCCGGTTCGATCCCCGGCTGCTCCCCGGCCACCACTGGAGGAGGGTCCCACATGGCACGCAGACCTCTCCTGCCGCCCGCTGCTCCCCTCAGCAGTGTACTTCGGTCCTTCTGCCTGCTCTGCCCCCCGCTCTGGCTCTGGTAAATTCTCTCACCCTCCCGCGCTTCTGATTGTACCCAGTGCATGTATAAACAAACAAACAAACAAATAAATAAATAAAACATGCCTCTATTAAAAAAAAAACAAAACATATCTATTCTAACATCTGCCTGCTGTGTTCAACAGATACTGGTTTCCCAGTATGTTCCTCATGCCAGGGCTTTTGCCCTTGGTGAGAGGC